TGAAAAAAATTAAAATATACCTTGTATTCAAGCCACAGGCAACCTATAAATAAACAAGAATGTGTAAGATAAAAGTTTTCCTCCAACTGTCAAAAGAAGGTTATTGCTTTATCAAAATACTTGAGACTGAATCGCCTGTCTTCATATCATGAAACTATACGAAATAAACTTGTTAAAATATTAAAAAAACCACAACAACAAAAACAAACAAACAAAACCCAAAAACTCAAGAAACCAACCCAAACAAACAAAAAACAAACCAAACCACCCCAAACCATTCAAATGTTTTTAAAAAAAAAAAAAAAAAAAAAAGCCTGGGAGGATAATTTATCTTGTAATATTCTGTGTTAAAGACATAAAGAACTCCTTCAGAGACAAATGAAGGCATTTAAATCATGATCCATATGGTTACCTAATCCATTTCAGATGTTCAGATATTTATAAGCATTAAAGACTATTTTGTATTTCTTGATGAGGAAAGCATCTGCTATGTGTTCTCACTATACTATTCATTATTAAAAAAGCTGTCTTTTAAATCAGGCAGATAGTGGCAGAAAGAAGTGCACTGCACTGTAATCAAGTGGCACTCCCCAAAGAACAGGTAATGGAAAGTAAAAAAACCTGACTGGATTGTAGCTGCTTTACTATAAAAACCTGGTGATCTCGCTGCACTGAATCTCTAAACAAAACCAATGTATTGTTATGAAGGGCAGTCAGGGAGGTGCTAACTTAAAGAGGAAGAGAACAAACAGCAGGAAGAGGAAGAAAATGAACAGGACAAATGGGAGGAAGAAAGTAAGGAGGGTAAGAAGGAACCAAAAGCAAAAGTGGAGGAAAAACAGAAGACATAGGAGAAACAGAAGGAATAGGCAGAATACGAAGCAGAGCAGGAGACATACAGGGAAGAAGATGAAAACAGGATGTGGAGGAGAAGAAAGTAAAATGACGAAAAACAGGAAGAAAGAGGTTAAGAAAGAGATGCGGAAGTGTTTAGTGACATACTAATCACTGGAGTCACAGTATTTCTTCCCAAAGTGCGAGTTGCTTTTACTTTGAGTAAAAGTGATGTTTTCCTTAATGAGTTGTTACCAGACACACAGTCAAACTCTAAGTACTTTCTTAGCTTCCCATTTATATGAAGGCAGCAAAAAGACCCATTGCAGAAGTCAGCAATACGCTGCAGTTTCTTTGGAAAGCAAGTTGAAGAAAACAAAATTCATTAGTTATTTAAGTACTTTGCTCCATATCTACCATCTTCCTGAATTCCATACAACTGCAGCCACTGTATTTGACAAACAAAATAAAGAATCTACACTAGCTTGGGTAACAGTGAAGATTAACTTGTCTTAGACTCCTCTAGCATTTACCTCTAAATCAGAAACAGTGTTTTTCTCTACAGCTCCCTTGACTACTATGATGAAGACTTTCAGGGTCTTCTGTACATAAGTGTACATACTATGTAGGGACACCATATGTCAGAAGTACCAAAGTTTAGCTTTGAAGAGGCAGATTTACCGCCATTGCACACCTTGGTGGGCAGGCTTAAGAATCAGTATAATCACCTTAGCTCAGGTATCTCAACACAGTACTCCACTGTGCAGCACAGACAAGTTAACATTTCTGCCTCCAATCTTTCCTCAGAAAGCATTTTTAGTATCTTTCAAGTTTAAAAATGCAATGGAGGTGGTTCATAAGTGAAGTATTTGAAAATAAATATGAAAAAGCAAAGAAATATGAGACAACTTTGAAGGCAGTACTAGTAAATAACTCTTCACCCAGCACCAAGGCAGCTTACTTTCACAGCCGGTAGCATAATACAGCAAGTGTTACAGCAACAACTATACAAGTCAACATTAATTTCACTTGTTAGTGAAGAAAAAGGTGTCTACTGAATACACGAAAAATCATCACTGATAAACTAAAAAGAAAGCTTTTTCAAACTTTTCTAAAAATAAGGTGTTGTTATAAATAAAGTATGAAGTGTTAAATAATTTTAGTCTATTTTTCATTTATTGAATTTGTTTGTCCTGAGTCATAATCATAATCTACAATATAGCAGGCTCTATTTGAGTTCATTACACGAGTGATATCAAATAGAAACAAAAGGCCATCACCTCCAGGAAACGCTGAGGATCACACTCATGGACAAGCTTTTCACAATCCTTCAAAAAATTCTCAATGGTCTTCTTGTGAGTTTCTTTCATTTTCTTCCAAATCTGAAATTCTTTCTCTTTTTTACCTCTTTGATTTTCAACATCCTCTAGTAATTGCTGTTTTTTCATTTCTAGAGTTTTGAAAATTTCTCCAAATTTCAGCTCAATTATCTCCACATCGTTTTTCAGCATCATCTGGAAGCGCAAGAACATAGGAACAGATGCAAACGCAGTAGCAGTGTCGATATATATTGACTTCTCTAAGTAAACTCAGAACAGATCTATGCCACAAGGACCTGATGCTCCACGTTGTGATTAAGCTACCATGAGAAGAGAAACAAAGACACACACACATGCAGCATTTGTAACTCACATCCGTATCGTTCGGTCGTTTTGAGATCTCATTCATCAGCTTCTCATTTATTATTCTCATTTGTTTCAGAGTGCTGAAGAAGGTTAACTGCAAGACAGTTGAAACACTTTATTACAACTTTATCCATTCCATAAATACATTTCGGTGTTTTTCTAGAATCAGATCACAAAGAACATAGATCTACTGGAGAGAGCTCAGTGTAGGCCCACAAAGATGCTTAGGGGTCTGGATCATGTCTCTTACGAGGACAGACTGCATAAGCTGGGCCTGTTTAGTTTGGAGAAGACAGGACTGAGAGGGAATCTCATTAATGCATATAAACATCTCAAACCCAGGTGCCAAGAGGATAAATGCCAGACTCCTTTCACTGGTGGCCAGTGACAGAACAAGGATCAACGGCCATAAACTGGAATATGAGAGGTTCCACCTCCTATGAGGAAGAACTTCTTTACACTGAGGTGGTAGAGTACTGGAACAGGTTGCCCAGGGAGGTTATGAAGTCTCCACTCTCTGTAAACATTCAAACCCCACCTAGGTGTGTTCATGCATCACCTGCTCTAGGTGACCCTGCATTGGCAGGGGGGTTGGGCCCCTTCCAACCCTAACTATTCTGTTATTTTGTACAACATATTAAACAAAGATTGCAATTCAAAACATCACTTAAAACATTTAATGCTTTCCTGGATCAGTACACAAAGTTACTTTTGCTCTTTCTCAAAGCAATGTTCTTAGGCTTACCTAAAATGGGTATTGCTGGAACAGCTGCTTTATAGTTAAAACACTGTTTTACTCAATCTTTTTTTAACCTCTCCCTTCACACACACCTATCACAATGTAAGTTTTAGTGCTGTTATTCCAGTCTGACAACAAATTGTGTGATAGTAACTCTTTACGCCTCACATCAATAAAACAGAAAGCTGTTTTATTTAAAGCCAAGATATCTGGTTTTAAACTAATATTATCACTGATTTTTTGCTACAGTATCACTAAGTTTTATGTAGAATGTCTAGTGTAAAGGCTGTTTTCCCCTGGTTTCCTGAGTGACATGCAACTGGTAGTGGGAAAGGCAGGAGGAAAATCAGTGTAAAAGCAACTTTTGTCTTAAAGAATAGTCCGTGCTGTACTTAGTACTTTTTACCACTGCCCTGCAGTTGTTTCAATTACTCTACAGCAGAACTGCTGTATGACATGCCAACCTGCACCCAATTTGCACAGGGCATGAAGAGCTCATCCTACTCTAATATTCTGGCAAAAATCACTACTACTGCAACCAAGCATTAGGCCAGGCAGTTGCTTTCTTCATGCAAACTAGAACGCATTTTGGTTTTACATTTATCTATTACTCACTCAAACTATCTGTTCCTAAATATGTAATTATCTATGACCCAAATTACTATGGTAGCTCAGAGAACCTATAAACAAAACATCTGTGGGTGGCTTTTGGTGGTGTTAGTAAGACTGGCATCCTCCTGAACTTGGAAAAACTGGATCCAGACGTGCAACGAACTCTTAGCATCAGTGTTCTGCCAGCAAAGACCCCAAGTCTCTATATGAAAAAAAACAAACACTACAAACTAAAGCAACGACAAAAAACTCCAATCTACCCCAGAACAAACAAGCAAAGAACCCCAACTCTCCAGGTATTTTGGTAAACTGTGTTCAGATCTGTTCATATCGTAATATTGCCTGGTCCCCTGTGTGTGGTGGATGCAGTGTGACGGCAGCAGGAGAAGGCAGGCACACCCCGGCAGTCCACGGAAAAACTCCTGACTCTGGCTCAAAGCAGCACAATCCCTGTGCCTCTCTCCTGACCACCGCACTGCAGTGTTCCTTGCGTTTCTGACTAAAAGCAACCCGTGCCCGGTGGGATCCCCCGTGGACAGCCCGACCTCCCAGCCGGGTCCCTGGCGCGGAGTGGACGCCCCGCGCTTACTTTTTCTTCCTGGTACACCGTGTCTATAAGGTTGACGGAGTGGAAGATGCCCTGGTGCTCCTCGGAGACGCACTGCCCGCACCCTGCCTGACGACACATGCGGCAGTAGAGCTGCACCGGCCGGCTCGGGTGTTTGTGGCAGCTTCCCCCGAACGCCAGCGGAGACAGCAAGTCTGACCCCGGCCTCGGCCCCAGCGCCGCCTCCCCGGCCTTGGCGGCGCCCGCCGCGCCCGATCGGTAGAGCTTGACCACCTCGGCCAGGGTGGTGTTGACGGGCAGGGCGGCGACGCCGCCGCGGGGCAGCAGGCACAGCTTCCTGCACAGCGGGCACGGCACCCGAGCGCAGGGCGGGCCCGGCCCCAGCGCCCCCCGGCCCGGGCGGGCCTGCTCCGGGCCCCGCTGCAGCTGCCGCAGGCGGGCGGCCTCGGCCGACGCCAGGCACTCGAGCACGCAGCCCCGGCAGAAGTTGTGCGAGCACAGCGGCAGCGTCACCGGCTCCTCCAGCAGCGACAGGCACACGGCGCACGTCAGGCTCGCCTCCATCGGCGGCGGCGAGGAGCCGCGCGGCCGCCGCTCCTGCTGCTGCCCTGGGCCTGAATCGTCTCGCTTCCCCGCCGCTTCCAGCTCGGCGGCACCGAGGGGCCGCGGCTTCGACCGCAACGGCGGCCGAGCTGCCGGGAAGCCCCAAGCACGGCGCTTTCAGAGCCGCTTCCAGCCGGCAACTCCCCGGGGAGCGACACCCGCCCACAAGGGGCGGGGCGAGGGGAGGAATGTTGGCGATAGGCGGAGGCCCGAGATTGACATCATGGCTGTCCAATTAAAAAAAAAGGGAACGAGGGGGGGTGGGGCGGAGGGTTGTGGGGCCCGCCCCGTGCCTGGCGCGCGGGCGGTTGCGTTGCGGGGCGCGCGCAGGGTCCTAGCGCCGCTGCCGCCATCTTATGAGGGGTTGGGGGCGCAGCTCCCGCCCTGCGAACCGGCCGGGGAGCTCGGGAATCCCGGGGAGCTCGGGAGCCGGGGGAGCCCGGGAGCCTGGGGAGCCCGGGAGCCTGGGGCGCTGGACGTCCAGGGAAGTGTCCCCGATCCCGTCTGCGGACGTGCGGGGCTAAAGCGAAGTGACTCCACAGCGCCGACGTGCGGCTGTAGCGAGTTGCCTTCTGGCTGCAGCTGCGAAATCAGAACAGAACGTCTGTTTAGGGTTGTGTTGGTGCTGAAAAGTTGGGACGGGGTGCTCAGCTCGTTCTCTTTTTTTGTTTGTTTGTTTTGTTTTTGTTTTCTTCTCCCCTTAGTTTCTTTTTCCTTCCCAAAGCCGTTCCTCCCGACGTTCAGGCTTAACAGCTATACCATCCGCCCGGAATGTTTTGAAGTAAGTTAAACTCAAGAGGGACTCGAGTGAAATTTTATTATAAATCAATGGAGTTGTAACACGAAGTCAGTATTTTCAGGGAAGCCAGGTAACGCTGTAAATAGTGTTAATCCCTCCGGCTGAGGGAAGGGATAGGAGCAAGGGGCACGAAAACAAAGCCAGGTGTTTGTAGGTTTCTATAGCAGTGCTTTATTCAGTCTCACTGAGCTGCACCTGCGGAAGGTGCCCGTGTAAAAACACCCAGAACGGCTCTGCCCGGCGAAAAACCAAGGGCATGTATTTCAGGGAATGTTACCACACTGTCCCTCACTTCTATGTCCGTCAAGATGCTGACAGCAGGTACGTGCGCACGGGCTGGGAGGTTGCATGGGTAGGCTGCCCTCCATATACTCGGGGTGTTTAAAAGCAGCGCCACGTTTTGCTCTGGAACGGGCACTCGAAGCTGAGCTCTGCTGTCTTCCTTCCTCGCGATGTGAGTTGCTGTCACCAGGCGTGGTCAGCCTGTGTTTGCAGGTATTCCAGGGAGCGCCGCATCCTTCGGCCTCATTTGGAGGTGCAGTGCCATCCACTGTTAGTCAGCTCCTGAATTAAACCACCCAGGGCATCCTGGATTTACCTCCGTGCTCTGAAGGTCAATATTCAATTAATGATTAAAATTAAATAAGCACAGATAGAATTCAGAGTTTAATTCTCTGGAACTTCTCCACTCAAAGATAAGTAATGTTTCATCTTCCAGGGTGCACTGGAATCAGTGGCACTGAATCAGGAATGGTTTGGGTACTTGATTCTAATTTTTTCTTCTGTTTCAAAAAGAATAGGGGAAATGCCATTAAGTATGTTGGCTAAATGAAAGAGAATACAAAAGCATTCTGGTGAAGGACTGATAAAGGATGGGGCAGATGCTTAATTTGATAGTAACTAAAACAATTATGTTCAAGACCATAAAATATGAGGTATAAGAAGTAGTAAAGAGAAGAAGAAATTTACGTACAGGAAGAAATCCTGCCGATAAAAGTAAAGAAAACAAAATATTTTTTTCTTACTTCGGTGTGGAAGTGAGTAGGTTCTTCCAGAGCCTGTTGACAAATGTTTGGAGTGTTGTGACATAAAATGGTAAACGTATGCTTACATGGAGTAATTTTACCACTTGCTTCATTAATTTACATTAATCATAAAAGCAGAAAT